CAGCAGTTTGAGGGCACTGTGCTCTGTGTTTCTGCCAGCATTTGGTGGTGCTGGATATTCAGATCTGGAGCCGTTCTCACAAGTGTATAAAGTTTCCCTTTGTTGTTTTCTCTGTGATTTCCAAATGACAAAGGATGCTGAACGTGTTTTCCTGTTTTTATTTGTCATCTGCACAGCTTTTGTGAGATCTGTTGAGATCTTCAGCCCACTTTGAAATGAGATTGTTTGCTTTTCATTCTTCTTTGCAAACTGTTCATTTCTCACCCTTCAGTAATCAAGTAAACCAAGGATGAAGAGAATTTTATAATGTTACATTCTTCTGTATTGTTTTTTGCCATAGTAAAACACTTCATTGTTGTGAGTGCTTAGTATTCCATAGTAATGAGTTGGTGTTTTTTAAACCAGTCCTCTGTTGTTGGACATTGAAGGTTTTTTACGGACACGCTTGATATTATGAACCTTACGTTACTGAGCACCTGCAGATGGGTATTTACACAGACCCCCTTCCGATGGGCTCTTGATACAGGCCCTTGCCCTCTAGGTTTAGTCACCACCACCAGCCTCTGAGGATATTCTTTTTTAAAAAAATCTCAAGTGTTTCCCAGTTTGATAAGTATTTGATGCTTGTTAATAGTTTTTGTTTGCTTTTTAAAGCCCTGTTAAACATTTTAACGTATTTACTGGAATATTAAATGCTTTTCAAATAAGCTGTACATGCCAGTGCTTGTTTTCATTTTTCATTTTTACTAGTGTATGTCTGCAGTGTGTCACGGGAGGTTGGTCCACATGTCTCAGTTCCTTTTACATTGCCTTCCTTTCTTTGCCCGACCCCTTTCCTTCATCTCTTGCAGATCTGTACAACCTCTTTGTATTCTAACGTAATTTTGTCACATATGTTGACTTTTTTCAGTTGTCTGCCTTTTAATTATATTTTCCTTCACCCTTGGTGATTTTGTTTTTGTGGGAGATTATTTTGGCTTCGGTGTGAAGAATAAATGAGTGCTGGAGACAGGAGATGAGGAGTTGGCTTTCCTGTGGGTGAGGAAGAGGGGACAGTTCGAGAGTAAGGGCAGTGGCAGCGAGGAGCAGTTCTTCATCTGGAGAGGTTGAGGAGTTAGGATCTGGTGTGGGGTTAGAGTTGGGAGAGGAAGAAGATGGCAAAAATAGTGCTCATGTTTCGTCCGTTTGCTTGTTGGATAGTTGTTCCCTGTTGTGAGGAAAGCAGATTTGGGGCTTAGGGTGTAAATGTTATCGTTTGGTTTTAGGTCTGTTAGCTTTCAGGTGACTTCAGGACATGTATCTGGAACTGCTTAACTGGCGGTGGGCTAAGTAGGTGAGAGGCTCAGGACAGGAGCCCGGACTGGAGATCTTTCCTTCCCTGTCTCTGCAATCCCTTCTCCCTCCATTTTTCCATCCGTCCATCCCATCGTCCCTCTGCCCATCCACTTACCTATACAGTCTCCGTGGAACCTAGCAGGCATCCTCTCCCCAGGCTGTGAGGACTTGACAGTGAACAGAGACTGTAGATCTGCTTTAGGGGGCTTGCATGGGGGAGGGAGCCAGTTAGAACATCAGCCAGAGAGCAGGCCAGTGAAGATGTTGATGCTGTTACTTTTATCACAGTAGGTCTCTTGATATTCTTACCTAATGTTTCCTAATACCTACAGCAACCGAATGGTCACATTGTGTTGTGTGATGTTGTCTTTCAGGGACGAATTCATACCAGTGCACAGCGCAAACTGCAGTATGGGCTTTTGGCAAACTTTCTTGGTGACAAGGCATCAAAAAAACTGACAGAAGAAAGCTAAGTGATAACTGTGGATGGCAACATATGCTCTGGGAAGGGCAGGGCTGCAAAAACAATAGCGGAGCATCTAGGTATGAATTCCTGTCATGTAGAATGGCACCTTTTTTGGGGGATACGTGTTTGTTTATCTCACTTTGATTTTACTGAAGTGTTGCCTAGGTGGAGTTGGGCCTAAGGTGGGTAGTTTACATTTCTGATGTGTTGTCCCCCAAGGTCCTTCGGCATTCAGGCAGGCTGTCTCCAGTGAGGCACGGGAGTGAGGGGAACTTCCCATTCGTGGAGTCTGCCCATGGTGGGAGGGTGCAATCTACTCCTGCTTTATCCAGACACTCTTGTTCTCAGGCCTGAAGCACTTTCCTGAAGCAGGGATCCATTACGCAGCCAGCATCACAGGAGATGGAAAAGCCCTGGCTGAGGAGCTCACTGGCAGCTGTAGTTTGGAGAAGTTTTACGATAACCCACAAAGCAGTGATGGGAACAGCTACCGCCTGCAATCCTGGCTGTACACCAGTGGCCTCCTGCAGTACGCAGATGCCCTGGAGCACCTGCTGAGCACAGGTGAATACTGGGGCTCAGCTGGCTGTCGCGTGCTCGGGCTTGATCCTGTTATAGAATTCAGCTGTTTCAAGTTGATGTATGTAGAGTGTTCCGTAAGGTTCCCTTGGAGGTGTATACTCTAGTAAGGTCATTCCTTGGAGTCCAGTTGCTTCAGACTGTAGTTTCATTGTGTGTATCAGAATGAGTTGTATGGATTGTGTGGCATATCTTTGCCCCTCATGAAGCATATAAATGAAATGTGTCAAAGTAATGGAGGAAAGAGAGGACCTGTAAGGGCCTGGGAGGGAGTAGGGGTGCACTCATGAAGAGGAAGTGTGGGTCCTGCAGAGATATAGCGACAGCAGACTGGGATTGTTGTAGAGGACTGAGAGCTCCACTGAAATTCACCATAAAGCTGAAGGCAGTAGTTAGGACTTGAAGAAGGTGGCAGAAGTAGGGAGAGGCAGAATGCAGAAGTCTTGTGGGCTCCTGTGGGAAGCCATTGACAAGACCTGTGTTTTGGAGCAGGCCACATTCAGCCTGGGAGAAGGGCAGCAAGGAAACAAAATTGGAAATGAAGAGAGGTGGACAGAGGGCAGGGATATAGGTTGTACATGTGCACATGAGGTCAGAATCCAGCAGGGGCTGCTTCAGTCCCATGGGAAACAGTGGTATATGTTGCTCTGGGGCCAACACCAGAACGCCCTGAGAACGAGACAGCTACCAGTTTTTGGCCAAAGCTACCATGCCACGCTGCTTCTGGATTCACAGATGGAGGCAAGTAGCATGCCTGTGTGTGGGAGAGACAGAGATAGCTGATTTTTACGACTTTGTGTCCACTTGATGTAGCATGGTTGCCACGGGTGACATCAGAGCTCTGGAGAAGCGTGTGCACACACACAAGCTTGGCTGCTGAGGTAGAGTTGGCCCTGCGGGGTCCGATGGCAGTGGGTCTCCTGCTTTTCTCACACGCCATCAGGTTCCCCTGCATGCAGTGTGTGTCCATGGAACCCAGGGTGACGCTCTTTCCTGAGCAGGCACCTTGGGCTTTCCCACATTTTCTGCGTGATTCTTTTTTTTTTGCTTAGTGTTGCCCCTAAGGAAATGTGTGCTCTGTGTCCTGCCTGTTGGAGCTCTGTACCAGGCAGTCCCTGACTTGGGGGCGTGTGCAGTACTTGGGTACGGTGCTGGCATTCAGGCCACTCTGGATTCTTTTTGAAGTATACTTCACCCCATTTTCAACTGCACTTTTACAGTATTAAATAGACACGTTTTGCTTGTTACATGAAACTGGTTTGGTTTCTTTTATGTTGTATTAATTTATTTATTAAATATTGATGAGTATCTACTATGTATTAGGCCCATTCCAGGAAGCTGAGGAGGTGGCTTTTTTAGTAGGGAGATAAAAGCAGAGCGTGGAAACAAACAATATAGGTAGTAAGTGAATGGTGGGTGCTCTAGGGAAAGGACGGGACTTGGGTTCATTTTGCAAGGTGGGAGGATTTATGAGGCTTCTGCCCAGGCCAACAGGAATGATAGTAAGGACCTTGAGCCCTGAGCAGTGTCTCTCTTGTGAGGAGACCACTGTGTTCAGGCTGGGAAGGGTGGAAATGAGGTCAGAGAAGTAGGCCAGGAGAGACATTTGATCCTCGAGAGCCCCACAGGGACCGTGGTGTCTCTCGAAGGAGAGCACAGTTGTGGAGAGGCTTGAGCACAGGCCCGGATTCGGAGCCAGGAGCTGGCAAGGGTGGAGGCAGTTCAGGGAAGCTGGGCGGAAGTGGTGCATGGTGAGTGGGAGAGCACGGGTTGGTTTGTGATGGGCCCAGGTACAGGAGCAGGGGTCCTTGGCCACTCCGGGGTCTGACCAGTGTGGTTGGGGCGGGACAGGCCAGGACTGAGATGTGCGTGGTGAGGGAAGTAGCCTGTTTAAAAGAAGGGTTGCCCTTTTGTTAGCTGGAGGCTGTGGCAGCTGACTGCAGGAAGCAGAACGGTACCAGAACTGAAAAGGCATTTGTTTCGGCAAGTCATCTCTTCCTTATCAATACACATATGGTCTTTTGGATGTAATTGGTGTGGGAAGGGAACTGTAAGTGACTGCTTTACCATTTCTGAAATGAAGTTACTAGTTCTGGTGCTTATTATCTATAGTTTTTAACTTTGTTTACCTGTGTTTGAACAGGACAAGGTGTAGTCTTGGAGCGTTCCATCTACAGTGACTTTGTCTTCCTGGAGGCGATGTACACACAGGGCTACATCCGGAAGCAGTGTGAGTTGTGTTGTGGATGGGCCAGGCATTGGATGTGCTGTGCAGCTTTCATGTTTGAGGAAGGGTAGTTGCCTCACTTGGCGCTTTTCTCCTCCAAGCTTGTGCTTTAGGGACCTGTCACCTAGAGGTCAAATCCTGGTATGTTAGCTTCTCTGAGCTGAGCACTTTCCTGGGACTGTGTACAGACACAGTGGTGGGCAGCAGCGCGGTCCACGTGACCTGCTGTGAGCCCCTGCCCTGCTACGTGCATGAGCTCTGTGGCCGTGATCTGTGTTCCACCAGCGGCTTCTGCTCCACCTCTTATGTGGTGATTGCAGTTTGGTTCAATAGAACTGCAGGAAGTTTTACCCTCTCTTTTGGGAGGAGCATAAGCGAGAATCCTATCTGGGTGAGATGATGATGGTGTCCCTTGTTGTAGGTGTGGACCACTACAATGAGGTGAAGAAACTCACCATCTCCGAGTACTTGCCTCCCCACGTGGTGGTCTACATCGACATGCCTGTGCCGGAGATCCAGCAGCGGATCCAGAAGAAGGGTGACGTAAGTTGGCTTTTATGTGAAGGAACATAGCGTTCTTTTATATGTCCTTGGTATTTTTAGCATAGATCCACACTTCCAAGTCATGTGAGACTGATTTCTGACAGTCTTCACGAAGGTGAAGCGGATCCCAGGTGAGAGAGAGAGTGAGTGGTCCACCTGGAGGCCCAAGGCTCAGCCTGCCACTGTCTCTTGGGAGGAGCTGCAGATCCATTGCTGTCCTGAGCTGCCCCTGGGAGGAGAGGGAGGCCTCCTGACCATCTCCTTTGTGGTGGGTGGTTCTCTTCTGGCCTGTCTTCTGAAGATGAAAAGCAGTTTGAGTCCTTCACTTGCTGCTGGAAGCCAGCCTCTTCCCTGCTCTCAGCCTCTACAGTGGACAGTATAGCATTAGTCTTCCCATGTCCTGCCCCCTGTCCTTCGGGGGGACAGATTTTCGAGGGTGGCACAGGCTACTCTAGGCAGGTGGCCAGTACAGAAGTCAGCCCAGCCTGTGCTGCCCTAGCCTTGCCCACAGTATGTAAGGCTGGTGGAGATTGGCATAGATACTGCTGGCCTCGGGGCTGACTCAGGTTCCATGCTACAGAGCTGTCCTGGAGGAAACACAATCTTTTTGGCCTTGTGGTGCAGATGCAGGCTGCCTGTTGGTCCATTTAGTGCCGTCCTCAATGCTCAGGTGCGAGGTAGCACTGTTAAATGGCAGGCTCCACCGTCCTTTGCTGCTCCTCGCGGCCTTGTGAGATCCAACTCTCTCATCTCAGTGCAAGCAGGTCTGAGATGTGCAGTGTCTCTTTGAGCCTGTCTAGTACCTCATAGTTAAGGGTTTGTTGTTAAATGTGGTGAGTAATTCAGGCTCTCAGAAATGTTTCATCATGTGAGAAAAGGAAACCGTGAGTTTAAAATGTTTATTTTCCAGTAGAACAATTTTCCACAGCCTTGTATTTAACACTGATATTTACTGATAAAACTAAAGGCATAGATGTGGAATTTTCTCTATAACTATTTTGCTAACAAAACTTGAAAACCAGTTCTGAGGCTCAAATCTCAGCTATCCAACAGTCTTTCTCCCAAGTAAAGTCTTAGATGAATACTGTCAATAGCTAGAAGTGAGCTGTGGAAGACAGGAGGCATTTTACTGAGGAGGAAGTGTATTATCACACAGTAAGTGTGTGTTCCCTCTGTTACTTCTCTTCCAGTCCATCCTGCCTCAGTGTGCAGCCTCTGGGAATAATTGATAGGAATACCTGAAAATCACTTCTGAACTTGTAAAGGCAAGGATAGAGTTACTGCTACTGAAGATTTGATCTAGTCTTTGTGGGTCCAATTTCTGTGATGGTTGTGTTGAGAATGCCCTGGGGTCCTCTGGCGATCCATCTGCCTGTGCTCTTCCTTGGACCCTGTCGCCCTTTATAACCACCACTGAGCCCCACTAGTGCTGTGCACCTCCACACACTGCTGGCTGGGCACGGGGGCATGCACCCATGTCTCCCCTGAGCCTAGTCCTTGTTGGAAATGCAGCAGCTCCCGATCCTGTGATCCTGCTGTTTTTTTCTGAGGGCGTGGTCCCCTTGGGTGACAGCAGGTGAAAGTGCCATCGCTGAGTCTTCCAGTCCCTGTGTCTGGTCTTGATGCTGGGATTTGGGATTGCAGGCACTCAGGAAATACTCTGCCAACAGGAGGTGAGGCTTTTTGTTTGTCTTGAACAGCTTTTCTGAGTAACTTATACCTCATTAAACTCATCCCGTTAAAGGGTACAACTCAGTGATGTTGCAGTGTACCATATTGCAATAGCTACTATGACAAGGCAGTTCGAGAATCTCATCATTTTGTAAGTAAAACAGTTGGCCTAGTCCCAACCCTGCCCTGGACACCAGGTGCTAGGGCCGAGTGTGGGGCGGGGTGGGAGAGCTCCTCACTCCAGGAGCTGATGCTCTCTAGAAGAGCTGAAGTGAGCAGGACATAAAGAAATGCTATGCATCAGTTAGAGGCTCATGTCACAAAGAAGATTAGCCAGGACGAAAAGTTAATGCCACTTAGCCTTTGGTGTTGCTAAGCTGGAACATGTTTTATATACTAAAACTTGTCACTCATAATTGGATTTTAAATTTTCTGACTTTGGCTTAGCACACTGTTAGAACCGAGGACAAGGTAGAGAAGTGGAAGGGAGGAGAAATGAGGGAGGGTCTGCAGCGAAGAGGAGGAAGCCGAGAGCAGATGAGAGCAGGTGAGGCAGGCCATTCCTCCCATGTCTGTGATCTTTCTTTGCCTGCACTTGGCCAGGCACAACAGGAAGGACAGGCAGCGGTGCCTTGCAAAGGAGGTACCTGTCCATCCGTGCTCTGGTGTGCCTGGGGTCCCTGGAAGAAGGAGGTGCTGTGGCTAACCTGGCCAGCTGGGACATTCACCATCCTTTGACTCATTCCAGCTGGTGCTGAGGGTCACATCTCACCCCAAAGTCCCCGCGGCACTCAGCCCATCAGAAGAAAGCAGTGTCTGCATTTTGCATGTGAACAGGTAAAAAGTTTAAATGTCTCCCAGTTTGATCTTTGTGCTTGTGTTTAGCGACACGAAATGAAGGTCACCTCTGCCTATCTCCAGGACATTGAGGACGCCTACAAGAGGACCTTCCTCCCTGAGATGAGGTGAGCACAGGTGATTTATGCACCAGGGCTCCTTGGCAAGCAGGTTGTTTCTCTCTTAGTGTCGTGGGTGTCGAAAATGAGGATGATAGCAATATTTCAGTTCAATTTTTACAGTTTTTTGGTTTGCTCATTTCTCAGTTCGGTTTTGATATAGCCTTAAAGTTTCTTGGTGTACCAGACATAAACCTAAGCTCTGATCTGTGTTTAGTTTCAGTGCTAGAGTATTCGTGTACTTTTACTGAGGTGGCAGGTAAAATTCACACTTCTCTTGAAGGGTGACTTGAAATACTCAGTGTGATTTGTAGAGAAAATTCACAGGGGTAAGCGATCTCCAGCGCTCTTGCTGACATCGTTCTGAGGTGCTAGTTGCAGAGGCCCTGCCAGGCCCTTTTTCAGCCTCCCTGTCTGTTTTCTTCTTAGCGGAAGCATTAGGGATTGTGTTTTCATCCATGCTCCAGCTTGTCACTCTGACCCTGGGGGATCGGCGTGTGAGAAGAGTCATTACTGCTGTCACTCAAGTCCAGTTACAGGAGGATGTGGGTGATGCTTTTATTGAAGGTATTCAGTAGTGTCTCGCATACTTTTAAACTTAAGCTCCTTTTCATGCCCTCTTTGCAATGTCAGAATAGCCTAAAATTGTGACTGAATACAAGACATTAATTTGGTAATGAAAATTTTGTTTTTAAGTTGAAAATTATTTTTTTACCGTTAGCATCAATATTTGTTTATGGTGAGTTTTTTCTTTAGTAAGAAAGACGGAGAACTAAGGGTTCCTTTTAACCTGTCCTGCCGTTCTGGTGTAAGACAGGAGTGCAGAGAAAAGCAGTTCCGCAAATCTGTGCCCGGGTGGATATATGGAGCTGTATGAGTACACCCAAGCAGAGGTAGTTGATTGTAGAAGTTCTGTTGCAAAAATCCCTCTTGCAGCTCTCCTGGCTACAGAAACGTACTCCTAAATCTCCATCAGGAATCGGCCGTCTGGTTTTAGCCTGCACACGGGATGAGACTATGACTGTCGGTAGTGTGTGGTTACTCTCAGAACCTGGCCCTGCAGGCTGCCTGACACAGAGACATCCCGAGAGGCAGTGGTAGCATCTCCCACTTCCTTGGGCTGTACGCACTGACTGAGTTGGTGTTTAGCTCCTGAAGTCTCAGGCTCAGTATCACTGAGCTGAAGTGTGTCGCGGATCCAGGGAGGTCATCTTCCACATTGTCCAGACTGGCAGCTTCCTCCTTGCCGTGCATGGTTATGGCAGGTGGTTGGGAAGCACAGTGTGGACCCTCAGATGCTAAACTCTTTCTCATCTCTGACTGTAGTGATCAGGTTCGGCTGTACTGAGTGCTGGGTCCTGCCAGGCTAAGTGGTTCCTGAGGACAGTTTCACTAGATCTTCACAACACCAGCCATGCTGAGTCCAGCTGCCACACCCTCCAGCATGCTGGCTGGGTTTTGTGTGTTGACCTTGATGAGTGTCTGCAGTTGTCACAAATGGTCCAGGCTTGGAGTGCATGTGAGGTTTAAAAAGGTTACGTCTCTCTCAGTATAGTTGCCCATGTCATCACGTCACAGAGGGAGTCCTGTGGCACTGGAGTCCTCGCAAAGGATGGCCGGCAGCATCCTCTGGCAGTGTCTCGAGGGGGCCTTGTCCACATGGCCCAGTCATGGTCATCACTGGCTTCTGGTTGTACAGTGTCATAGTTCATCTGTAAAGAGCAGAGAATCCCACACATGGGGATTAAGTGTCCTGATTTCCGAGCTCGCATTGTCTTTGCCCTGTATTTGTAGACTTACAGTGCATCGAGGAAGTGGGGCTCTTTTTTGTCTTTGTCTTTGTCTTTGTAGTATAAACCCTATCAAATTTCAGGTTGATTAGTTGGTTTCTTTATAGGCCCTCAGCTTCAGCGACTGCAAGTGGAAAATGCACCAGGAGCATGTGCCCACTCTGACATTCAGGAAGGTTGTTCATTTAGCATTTGTCTTCATTCTTTGGTGGGTTTCTGCCACCACTAACGCCCTCTCAGGCCCATGCCCAGCACTTTTCCTTTGCAAATCCACTTTTCCAGTTCCCTGGGCAAACCAAAATGAAATTTTAAAAAAGGTTACTCTTGATGCTTGTTTGTACAACAATATAGTCGCTATAAACTAAAAGTTTAGGGCTGGGTGTAGCTCTAGTGATAGGAAACTTATGTAGCATGCATGAGGCCCTGGATTTAATCCCAAGCACCAAAAGCAGTATTGATAACAAAATGAGAGTCTAAGATTATGCATTTATTCACCTTAAGGAAGCGCTTGCAGTGTTTATGTCTGTGCAGTGTTGCACACGTGTTGGGTGTGGTGCTCACACTGTCACTTTGTCTCCTGCAGGGGAGAGTGTATTTGTG